TAATTAATCTGTCTCGACTGAGTTTTTTTTTTATTTTTATTGATTTTACAGCTTAGTTACATCTCAGTGAAATGCTGATGTAAGTGACCAGAAGAGATAATTATCTGTCAGGGTCGACTAGCAGCCAGCAACGTTTTTACTTTTACAACTTTAGAACTATTTTGTGGAAGAACTAGTGCCCAGGCACGTGCCGTATCCTTGCGCCAGGTGTGTTTGTTTTGCTGTCGATATCAACAACCGATATGTTGTGTCAACACGCCCCGCAGGCAAAAATACAGTTGAAACTAAATTAATGTTGCATTGAGCTCGACCTTTGCAACGGAAGAAGTGACAGGAGTTAGGCTGAATTTAGTTTTTGTGCGAGAAAAGACGCCGTTAGTTTTCTGTTGGACAGAGGGAGACGCCTTTCCTTCTGCTATCACTCCCAAAGGTGGGCTTTGCTCTTTAACACAAACTATATACATATTGAAATTTAGTAGGCCTATTTCATATAAAGCAGCATACTGGTCCCTCCAGTAGTTAATGAAATCTAGCAGGATAGAAGGAAATTGGCGGTTGTAGGCTATTATATTTTCACCTGTTGAACCGCTTCATGCTGTGTATATACAGACGCTTAAGACCTCTTAACTTTCTGCACGTTTTCTTACACTAAAACTAAAATACTTACTCAGGGGAGCATTTTCAGTATCTAGGCGCATTATCAGGACCCCCTTCTAAGTCCTTAATGGCTGGACAAAGGGATGTTAACGTGAGTCTTGGTGTACCTGAGGCTGTCAGGTTTAGCTGCTTTCTGTACTCTGCACGCATGCAAAGTAGTTATTTGAAGCCCTGAGATAGGAGGTACGTAAAGCAAGGAACATTAGCTGGGCATTTCCCCTCACAGTGACTCTGGCTATGCATCATATGCTGGCCAGATGTGCGAAATGTCGACCGCGCCTCCTTATCAATTTTATGTCAATGAGATGGTTGTGGATAGTAACTTCCTTTTAAAATGCATCCATCTGGCAAAGGCCCAATATGAGACATCCATATTCTAACTCTAACCCTATGAAGTGGATTTTGATTATTGAATATCCTCAGGTGCTCAGTGAACAAAGAAGATAGTCAGCAGTCAGTTCATTGGACACCTTTAACATCGTTAAATCAAATAAATTGAATGACTTATGGTAAGCGTAGGGGTGTGACGATACACTTATTTTAACACTATTTTAAGAAATTTCAATGACGAAATATATCATTGGAAAAATGGTGTTTTATTCGTCTTAAAGTCAGAAAATCCAAAACAATGCAGGTGCATTATGAAATGGTTTTATTAATCATATTGTAATGACTGTCACTTCAGTTCTACTTACTAAGTATGAATTGTCATATGCAGTAAAAGACAATATGCAGGCACTGTGAAAGGTTTTGCCACAACAGACTGGTTTCTGTCTTGTACAATTACACATCAGTCTCTAAATGTGCTCTCAATGTAAGAGTGAATCCAATTCAAATAATGTGAGCAATAAATATTGGACATTTCATTAGTGTTGAAAGTCTCATGTTGGAGGTCATACTGTTGATGTATACAGCAAAGTAAAGGATGTAAATAAAGTTCATTCAATAAAATTGAAAGGTTATAACAATTTCACACCTAGGCTGTAGTGAAGTGTCTCGGAAGGCCCACAGTACCTTTGGGTCTATGGCAGTAAGAGGAGTGTTTACATGTTATGTTACTCTGGTATGAAAGCTAAACTGTGAAGGGCTTTGCCTACTGAATCTCAATGCTTTCATAAGCCTTGTTGGATGTATTGAGAGTTTAGAGTGGGAAACCCTCATTTTCTGATATCAATTGATAAAAAGTCAGTATTTTAACCCTTTGTTATAGAGAGTGGATGTCTGGAGGCACAAGTGGAACATGCTGTTATGGATATGTGTACAACTTCCTGTTAAGTCCTGAACATGGTATGACACACATGCACTTCAGCGATTATCAGCACATACAGTATATTGTCTGTTTACCTGTAACATTTATTGCTGCTGATGACATGATGCAAAAAAACCCCCACAAAGTACTACATTTAATGAAGAAGTGAGTACACTAGGTGACAGTAGCTTATAGGAGTCACCTTATACAGTGAGCAATACCATCACACAACTTTCTGCTAATGTGTGAACAGTTTAGCCTATTTTAATTGAGATTTCTGAATTTCTGTTTTTGTCTGTGCTATTCCTACTGATCTGAAGTAGGCTGAGCCATGGTGGAAAAGAGATGTCACATGCTTTCATGCACCACTTTGCTCTGAGCTGCATTTAAATCAGAATATGATGATGGTGCTTGTTTGCCAGGCAACTATTGATCACAGGCATTTACTATATAGTGCAGTGCATTTACTGCCCACCTATTATAGTATCCGAATTCTGAGTATGTAAATGTGTACTTTATTTAGTACGCCCCAAAATCCACTTTATAATATATTCTGCTAACAGTCCCACAGTAAAATTCACAGTATCTTTGTAGTTTTCTGAGACTGGCTGACAGTGACACAAAATAGCAGTTAGCTGGAAATCACTGTTTACTGCTCACTATTGAGTGTCTGTTATATAAGGGAGTAGTGAATGAGTGAATAAAGGACTGGTTTTGGACACAGCCACAGAATTCTGATGAAGATTATCAGATTTTTTTTTCTTTTTTAAATAAGTTCTTCATGTATTTTATCCAGACTTGAACTTTGGTCATTGTTTATTTAATCAGATATATTATATAAGTTCTTCATGTATTTTATCCAGACTTGAACTTTGGTCATTGTTTATTTAATCAGATATATTATATAAGTTCTTCATGTATTTTATCCAGACTTGAACTTTGGTCATTGTTTATTTAATCAGATATATTTTATGATACAGACAAAAAACTATTTTGAATCAAGTGTTGGGGGCTTTCAATGCAAGCAGTAGATAGAAGTATCTGTATAGTACTCAGTAAAATAATGCCTGTTCTTGAAGTAGTTTTATCTGCAGGCTGACTGAGGAACTAAACAGAAAGGTAGGATTTGTACCCCACAGGTTGTACATTCCATGACTGAAACTGATTCCTTTGGTTTGGGTTGTATTTTTCTCTCTCATCCCCTGTTCTTTCCCCTTCAGCTGACTTTCAGACTATAGACTTCACCGTAGCTAATGTTAGTTTAAAAGTCCTTTCTTTCCTCCTCTAACTGTTAATTACTTGCAATAACCAGATACACATAAATAACATTGCCTCACAGACAAGCAATTGTTTTTGCTTTACACATAGATTTTGCTCAGTGGCAATGGCACATGCATAAAGCTTATTATAGCAACAGTTTATAACATATTACCATACATTGTTTTGAATGGTCTCTGAACATAGACAGTGCAGGACTCCAGCCAACAAATGCTTTGTCACGATGACTGACTGGATAATGTAAATACTCAGCTTCAGGCAGAGTAGTAGGCACAGTTTTGACTGAGCTATGGAGCATTTAGTTGTGGCAAAATGGAGCAATAGTTCTGATAAAACTGCAGTGGATATGGTGATGCAAAGTCACTTAAGGAGAGAACCTAGTCTCTGTAATCAAGAAGAAACATTGATCTAAAAGGTATGTTTAAAATTAACTGAACTGAAAACTTAAAATTAGGCCGATCATAGTTCTAGTTACCTATGTCATTCTCAAATCACAGTTGCAGCACAAAAGTAAAGTGAAGCGTAAACAGAATATAAATTGTTTCTCAAGTTGTTCGGGGCCCCTGCTCTTCACTGTAGCCGTCACCTACACGGAATCTATGAATGGGGTGATTTGTTTCTCCAGTACATCTATACACATGACTGATCTCAGCCAGACTTCCCAAATAAATAAAATGTAACTTCATGAAATTTTAATATATTGTAACTTTAGAAACATCTTTGTTTCTCAAGGTGTTTATTTCGCCTCTTGATTGAACCCTATCAACTGCTAATATTTTTGTGAGAACAACATGAATAATGATGATGCATTGATACTTTGGTACTTAAAAAAAATGCTATAATTATCTTCTTGCCAAGGCAGTGTGTTCCTAGATGTCTCCTCCTCATGTTCCTGGAGTGAGTTTCCATCTGGCAGACTTCCACTGAGGTCTCTGCCTCTCTGTGGCCTCCCCATGCACTATGTAGTCACTTTCAGTCTGACTGCATCACGTTCTCTAACACAACACTTATTAACACTCTGCATATATAATGCAAATGCCAAACCACTTTGCTCTGAACTCCATCTGTCCTCCTCTTTTCCTGTCCCTCCTCTCTCTTTCTCTGTGGGCCTCTCTTTATCGGTCTGTCTTTCGCTGTGGTAAGCATCTAGCTGCTGTGCCCCAGGAGTAGGGGCCTGCTCAATGTGGCAGAGATGATTTGTTTGCTTTCCAATTATTTTCCATCAGTGGAGACAAATAGATTCATACTGCATAGAAAAACCCACACAGACAGGGCTGGAGCAATGAATGCGGTGGAGCAGACTAATATGTACTGCTCAAAAATAAAGATGGAGATAGGGAACACAGAGCACCTCAGGTATAGAATAGGTAACGTAATTCAAAGTTTTCAAGACAAGCATGTTATGGTACTACAGTGCCTTGTGAAAGTATTCGGCCCCCTTGAACTTTGCGACCTTTTGCCACATTTCAGGCTTCAAACATAAAGATATAAAACTGTAATTTTTTGTGAAGAATCAACAACAAGTGGGACACAATCATGAAGTGGAACGAAATTTATTGGATATTTCAAACGTTTTTAACAAATAAAAAACTGAAAAATTGGGCGTGCAAAATTATTCAACCCCCTTAAGTTAATACGTTGTAGCGCCACCTTTTGCTGCGATTACAGCTGTAAATCGCTTGGGGTATGTCTCTATCAGTTTTGCACATCGAGAGACTGAAATGTTTGCCCATTCCTCCTTGCAAAACAGCTCGAGCTCAGTGAGGTTGGATGGAGAGCGTTTGTGAACAGCAGTTTTCAGTTCTTTCCACAGATTCTCGATTGGATTCAGGTCTGGACTTTGACTTGGCCATTCTAACACCTGGATATGTTTATTTGTGAACCATTCCATTGTAGATTTTGCTTTATGTTTTGGATCATTGTCTTGTTGGAAGACAAATCTCCGTCCCAGTCTCAGGTCTTTTGCAGACTCCATCAGGTTTCCTTCCAGAATGGTCCTGTATTTGGCTCCATCCATCTTCCCATCAATTTGAACCATCTTCCCTGTCCCTGCTGAAGAAAAGCAGCCCCAAACCATGATGCTGCCACCACCATGTTTGACAGTGGGGATGGTGTGTTCAGGGTGATGAGCTGTGTTGCTTTTACACCAAACATAACGTTTTGCACTGTTGCCAAAATGTTCGATTTTGGTTTCATCTGACCAGAGCACCTTCTTCCACATGTTTGGTGTGTCTCCCAGGTGGCTCGTGGCAAACTTTAAACGACACTTTTTATGGATATCTTTAAGAAATGGCTTTCTTCTTGCCACTCTTCCATAAAGGCCAGATGTGTGCAGTATACGACTGATTGCTGTCATATGGACAGAGTCTCCCACCTCAGCTGTAGATCTCTGCAGTTCATCCAGAGTGATCATGGGCCTCTTGGCTGCATCGCTGATCAGTCTTCTCCTTGTATGAGCTGAAAGTTTAGAGGGACAGCCAGGTCTTGGTAGATTTGCAGTGGTCTGATACTCCGTCCATTTCAATATTATCGCTTGCACAGTGCTCCTTGGGATGTTTAAAGCTTGGGAAATCTTTTTGTATCCAAATCCGGCTTTAAACTTCTCCACAACAGTATCTCGGACCTGCCTGGTGTGTTCCTTGTTCTTCATGATGCTCTCTGCGCTTTAAACGGACCTCTGAGACTATCACAGTGCAGGTGCATTTATACGGAGACTTGATTACACACAGGTGGATTCTATTTATCATCATTAGTCATTTAGGTCAACATTGGATCATTCAGAGATCCTCACTGAACTTCTGGAGAGAGTTTGCTGCACTGAAAGTAAAGGGGCTGAATAATTTTGCACGCCCAATTTTTCAGTTTTTTATTTGTTAAAAAAGTTTGAAATATCCAATAAATTTCGTTCCACTTCATGATTGTGTCCCACTTGTTGATTCTTCACAAAAAATGACAGTTTTATATCTTTATGTTTGAAGCCTGAAATGTGGCAAAAGGTTGCAAAGTTCAAGGGGGCCGAATACTTTCGCAAGGCACTGTATATAAATGTGTTGCATATTGAAATGAAGTAGTGATAAGTGTAGAAAGTTATTGTTTTTAGATGATGGCCTGTATCAACGCAATGGTCTCCACATGGAATGTTGTATTCTCTGGATATAATTAGTTTTATTCTTACCTGTACCACAGTGCAATGCTTATTGTATATTGTCTGTCCCCAAGTAGGTAAACACTGGCTCTGATTCAGATGCAGTCACATTTTGGCTTTTGATTGTAATATACCCACTGTAAAGATAATGCTTTCCTAAAAATTGCATCTCTAGCAACAGCAAATATTTTCAGAGTGTAAGTAATGCCTCCCAGATTATGGTCTGTATTGGAAAAACTTGAACATTGTTCATATTCTACTTTGCCCCTGCCATGTAGCTGATTAGCTACATGCTAGCTAGCCAACTGTCTGGGGATGGCAGGCTCATCCTAAAACATTACTGCACTAACAAATACATTGGTGTGAAGACTTTGCTGCTCTCTGTGTGCTGAGAAATATGTGTAAGTCATGTTTTAGTCCACCTTGATATTGCAGATTGACTCATCACCAAACTTGGGGGGAAAAAAAAAAATCAATTTTTTGTCACGTGTCAAAGTCCTGTGTTTTCTATGCCCAAATTCCACCCCAACTGCCCCCATATAAGTTTGCATGGTTACATGGTTGTAACACTCACTGAACTCAAAAAATGTTGGCAGAAAACCTACACTAAGAAACAGAGATTTGTTTTCTCTAACATGTATTAAGCAAATCCATATACTGTAGTTTTGTACAAATGCAATCTTAGGAGACAGTTTGTTTATCCTGTACTTACAAATAATACAGTAAATAACTGAACAAATGCTAAAGACAGTGTCTGTAGATTTTAAGAATGAGCTAATAGAATATATATTTAGAAGACAGGCTAAAGGTGAAGGGCCTCCTCGTTTGCCTCAAGTGTGCGATGGACATGACTAGGCCCCAGACGCTTTCCATCTCTGAACTTTTAAACTATCCTCAGTAAAAGAGATTAACCTTTTCTTCCTAGCTTGTGTCTTGTTGATTTTTCTGTTTCTACTGACCTCTGTCTTCCTTTCCTTTTTATGACCCTGTCTCCCCTTTTCTAGTGTCTCTGACTATCCCTTGTCCTCTCTCCTCCTCCCCTTCCCTCCCTTTCTTTATATAGAGGCAAGGTTCAGGGGTCACCAATTACTCAGAGGGCTGAGAAAATTGTATGGGCTCTGCCCTCTGGGCTGTTATGTTGCATTATCATCAGGGAGACTGGTACGCAGCAGCCACTGGCTGCCAGCATAAGCACCAGCCCCAGCACCGGACCGTACAGACTCAGCTAAGTTCAAACTCTCCTCATGCCTGAGCGGCTGGCTGGCTTTAAGTCAACCCCCGACCACCCCACCCCCTTACTGAGCTACTGGGCAGAACTAATGCATATGTCTAGACTTCCTGGGAACTCCTCTACATGAGAATACACAGCTGGACACTGTGTGTGCTGATTTGGCTTGTTCTGTACTGTAGTGTAGCTTGAATGCTTTTTGTGATGCCTTGAAGAGATTCTTGTAATTTTAATTGTATTTACAGATGGTGCTTGCAATGAGGCTGTCCCTCTGTGAAATATGACCATATACATTGTTTTTGCCAGCAGAATACAACAGACTATAATGTGTTAAAGTTTGGTGACATCTAGTGACCATAGTAATGAGTATGAGATCAGAAAAGAAGTAAGTAGCATGACGTAGGTGCGAAGTGCATGTTAGGAGGAGGTTGGGGTGGATGGCTATTGGTTCACAAAACACAAGACTTTCGCTCAGAAGAGCTGGGTTCAGTTCCATTGTGGCTGATGTTTTTGAAGAATTTTGTTCCTAAATGCAATAATGCTGTTTTGTTCCAAAATGTGACCAAATATGTTTTGTACCTAAACCTAGTTTCCTTGATGACAAAGTTCCAGTAGCTTGCTGCTAGCTAACCCATGCGTTTATGGCTGTTTCCATGATGGGGAAGGTTCATAAAGGTTGATAACCTGACATGTTTTTGTTAATGTTGGTGGTATTGTTGCAATTTCCCCCACAACCATAGGAGTGCTATTTAATATGAGATGCCCCTATGTATGAGAGGGAAGGGAAGGTACAAATGAACATACAGGTTGTATATGTTGGAGGACTTGTTGCTTGCAATTGAGTGAGTTGTACTATTGATTTGTTTCCTGGCTGTAGCTTCATATTCACTTATAAATCTAGGCAACAAAGTGTATATCCTAAAATATTAATGTTAATAGTAGCCACCTGAAAATCAAATGTGGTTTTAACAGCATTTACTGTCTTGCAGTTTCAGAAAATGCACACATCTTAAGTACAAGCCTACAATACTGCAACAACTATACAATTCAGTGTATGGTTTTGCATTAAAAAGCATGCTTTTATTTGAGATTATTCCAGCACATGTTAAACATTTAAAGTAGTTCAGGATCATTTTACAGGCAATGCTGATACACTGCTTCAGTGCTGTCCTAGGTTAGTGGTTGTTAAATTTGTTATAGTGAAGATGCTAGAACAGCCTGTGCTGGACCTTACAAAGATGTCATAGATGGTGAAGCATGTATCATTTAGTCCTCTTCTTCCTTTTTACATTTCCTTCATACACAGCCCTACAACTTACAGGAAGTCTTTCTTGTCACTTTGTTTATCCTGCCTGCCTGCCTCATCCACCCAAATGCTGCCTCTGCAAATAAATAAATGAATGAAAAAAATGATGGATTTTGGTACTTCTGAATCAGACATTTCCAAACCTGATTAACTGTCCCTTCCAAACCCCACTATAACTGATTTCAGGCTCACAGAGAGGCCCAGGCTAGTAGTGTTTAGGCTGGAGCCAACAGAAGCTGTGCAGCCAGCAGGATTTGAAATGGGTCCTGAATAGAGAATCTGATTCAGTGTGCTCAGCCAAACCCTCTGTAATTGCAAAAACAGTACTCGGCCCACTAATAATGGGTGCGTGTCATCTCCAATCCCTAGTCCGTGTGTCTGTCTGCACCACAGAGGCAGCAATTACAGACTCAGGCCTGCCACTGCTGCTGGATGTAAGGGCAGAGGAACAGTGGACTGTGTGTACTGTACGTATGTGTTTGGGGCAGTAGGTTAATGGGTGCATCAACTGTATGTACATTCTTATTTGGCCACAAGAGTTCTGTGAACGTGAATTATCCCAAACTTTAAAATAGTTGACTGGCAGCTTCTCAGTTTACAGTGAACAGCTACACAGTTATGACTATTGAGCAAGTTACCAGTAAATGACTGTCATCCGCTAAATGTGCCAATATTCCATACAGTGCTTCTTGATGCTCTCACTGTCATTTATCCTGCTTTTTTTTTCTACTTCAAGTTTTTGATCCCTGTATCCTGAGATGACATTAAAAGTAAGATGGCAAGACTGTTTCAAGTAATGATACAGAAAAATGTTGTGCCAGTGAACAGTGCTATATATCTAAAGACTTAGAAGCTGTGCATGTATCGGTTTTCTTTATGAAGTTGAATTGTGTTTTTCTTAAGAGGGTTTTTTTGTACTGTTCAAAGTGTGACAGCTAAGACCTTATGTGAGTAGCACATTGCTGGACATCTCCCAGAATCACTTCCTTTAATAAACACTCTCAATGGCCACCCATCCATGACTCCTACGATGGCCATCACAAGGATTTACTACACCACTGACTGATCTTTCTTGTTATATTGCTATTGTTTTGTTTGAGTTTCTCTTCAGAGGCATGGAAAACAATAGAACAGAGTCAGGATGTGAATTTCCTTTCAGTGCAAACAGCTCCAATAAGTAAAAAATTTGATTTGTTAAAAGACAGTAATCTGCTTTTGATTTGGCTGGAGTGTTGTTACCATAAAATTGCACCACAACAGCTAGTGTCTGGTTGCTGAACAAGTCAGAGGTCGGGTCAGAGTAGCCGTAAGCAGTAACAATATGTGTGAAATTGGACACAACTCTGCACCATTTGTGTGTGATTACGTCAATTTCCTAGGGCAACTTCTGTCTGCACCTTCCCACAGACAGATAGCATGAACAGTATGGGCAGCTGAGATATGAAGGAAGGCTGACACGCTGGTCTTGGATTTGATCCGTGTAAATAGACACTGAATGAGTGCAAATGTTTCATTGTTTGTGTAGGTAGCACTCTTTGAATACGTGGCAAGACAGTGAGCAACATTATTATCCTATTCAAGTGATGTTTCAAGGCACCTAGCGAATTTAACTTGAATTTCAAGTCTTTAATTGTTTAGCTTTTCACCAAATCGAGAGGAAAATTATGTGGCTTTCAGGGTGTTTTCACATTAGGTACGATTGTTTCATACCACGCCTGGGCACGATTGCTACCTCTTCCCTTCTCCCCTGCGGCTCCGATTTCACATTAATAGCATTGTTCCGTTCCCCAGCACACTTTCATGAGTATACAGTAGGTGGCAGTATGCAAGAAGAAGCAACCACTTGTGTCACCAACTGGATGATGTTTGTTGCTGTTCCACACTCATGTAAATACGGATAAATACTTTCATAAATTTGAGTTTTTGTATGTAGTATCCAGTTGTCTCTGTATGTTTTTGTCATCCAAATTTCAATCAAGCATTTTACTTATTTGTTACTCCACAGAGATCTTTTCACGCCATATTTGTTATCATTTGACAGTCGAAACACATTTAAGCTACACATAAGCAGAAGCTACTCGGTTATGAAAAGCTGTATTTTGGTATGTCATCATGACTCTGGAAAGAAGTGAACAAAGGTCATGAAGGGAAAAAGTGAATGGACAATGTGATTATGTGCTTCAGTGCGAACCAAATCAGGATCAAACTGCATATGGAGGTAATATTATTAGGCTGTTTACTCAGAAATTGCTTTATTTTAGAATTTATACAGATGTCTAAAATGTCCTCATGCGCGGGTAATCAGAACATTCATTTAAGGGATATTATGTCTGAATCACTGTTAGATTGGGGTGACAAAGTCAAATGCTCAAGTTGAAATGTCAGTCAGTATAAATGTCAGGACTTCAGGTTTTTTTCTGTCTGTTTAACATTATAGGGCATAATAGACCATTCACTTCACATAACTCAAAGATATCTCTTGTTGCTGTCCTTACAGAGTGAGCTTTGAAATGGCTGTTTCGGCATTCAGGTAAAACTTTTTTTTTTTAAGTCTCTCTTGTATTTTCCTCAACCTTTAGCCCTTTTAGTTCACGTGGAAAGTAGTGAAGTAAAATACAATTCAATTAGGTGGTTATTGCCCCAAGGCCTGTGATGTTCCCTCTCTTCCAGCTGCAGCTCCAGTCTGTCTCTGGTCTATTCCTTATGCAGTGAACTACACCATGAATTATACACATGACTACCAATAGTAGGCCCAAGTGGGATCAGTGAGGAAGAAGTAAAAGCATACGAAAGAGACACCTGAAGCTGAGATGCTGTAAATTAGAGAACAATTACCGTTGGAGAGGACAGTTACAAGAAAGTCACTTTCAGCTTTTCCTGTTTAGGGGTCGCCACACTGACAACTCACATGTTGACATTTGGCACATGTTTTACGCTGGATGCCCTTCCTGACGCAACCCTGATTCGAACCTGGGTCGCAGTGGCGAGAGCGCTGCACTTTAACCACTAGCCTACCAGGGACTAGAGAGGACAGTCACAGTTTGACATTAAACCCTTTAGTTCTTGATGGGAGGTGACAGCGCTACTGAGCCTCTGCACTGAAATGAAATGAATTCCCAGTTTGTGTTTCACACTTTTCAGTTCTGAAAAGATATACAGTAGTTTATTCACCTGTCTTTTTATTGGGTGTTATTAGATCTGTAGTCTCACTTTGTATTATTTTATAAAAGGAGCTCACTTCAACCTATATTTGACACACTAAAGAGGCGCTACTGTCAATGGACTTGCTTTTTCTAAAGTGAAGCTTTGTCAGTCGTATTTCCTTAGGGAGAAAAAAAACCCCGCACAAGAACACTTTAAAAGTCAGTGAGGAAGAGAGAGAATGAGGAAAAAGCCCTGAAGGCAAATGGCAGGGAACATCAGTGCTGTTAGACGGAGCTACTTTAGCTGTCATGCAAAAGAGTATGTGAACGCCCCAGTGAACACACACAGTCGGCATGAGAGAACACGGATACAGAGATGGCCATGGTAATGATAATGATGGTGCCATGGCCCGAGATACTCCTCATGTTGACATGAGCTAAATAACACTTAGAACTGTTTTATTGTAAAGAAACAACCAAAGCATCATTTAGCCTGTTAAGGAATATGGTAGTTGTTCAGTTAGGCTTTATTATAAATCATAAAACTAATACATTGTTTACATCTTTCATTTGTTTACAGCACTCTGGGTTTTTGTTAAGCCTTCAGACAAGGTTTTTAAAGTTTGTACGGCTTTTCACCCTAATATACTATATCGGTGAGCAAAAAAACAATGAAAGCATAAGCCTAAGTGGATTCATTTCAATATCAAATGAGCAGCATTAAGCTTTTGTGTACCTCCACTTCAACCTTTAATTATTCCCGTCAATCTCCAAACTTGTTAAAGCCAAATCCTTTGCATATGACCCTTCTTAATCTCATGTTAGACCAAAGTGATCCTCTGTTAGCTCAGTACATTGAGCTTATTACATCATGATGAATTTCTCACACTGAGTTAAGTCATTTGGATAGGGAACACAGATGTGCACTGGGGGAAATTAGCATAGCTTTATCTTAGCTTACCATAGTTTAGCCTGGTGGGGCTATTCAAAAAGGCCCCTTTAGGCTGACAGCAAAACTAATATAAGCTTAGCATTAGCGTTGGCAAACAGAAGGCTTAATCGGGCTGCTGGGCTGTCAGAACATATAACCACATGCTTCCAAGGGTCTGTTTGGAGTTATAATCCCAGGTCTCGGCAGGCGATGACCTCATGGACTGTACTGGAGAAACCGTGTCTAGCAGGCCACTCACTGAGATTTGTGTATGTGCTTTATCTATGGTTGGTTGTTTTATTGAAGCATACGACACAGAGTGAACTGATACTGTCGAGTTGAATTCTAGCTGTTTGTTTGGGTATTTTTGTGCAGTATCTCATGGAGATGGTGTGTGTGTGTGTGTGTGTGTGTGTGTGTGTAGACCCCAGCACATGAAATCAATGATATTTCAGTTGTCTCTGTGCATTAATGCCATGTGTTGCTTTTCCTTGTGGCTAAGCGATAATTGGAAAGGTTAACCTGTCAGTTTTAAGCAAACAAAAAACAATCACTTTTGTTGCCTGCTTTTTTCCTTGACCCATCAGTGTGTTTTTAGAATGATAATCCAAGCAGGCCTATAGCCCAGAGATTCACCCCTTTAGACCTCTAACCATGGGTCCAAGAGCGGGGGCCTTGGGGTTAAAGTAACTCCATATCTTCACACATAAAGCTTTGGAAATTTGAAGCCAGTTGACTGAATTATTTGCACACACAAATTCAGGCACTATGGAGGCAGGTTGCTTGCTGTCAGTGCAGGGGACTGTCAGTAGGTCTAGCCAGCCATGGGCATCATCAGCCAGAGAGACCCAGGACTTGGCTACATTAATCTTCAGAGCAAAGGCAGCCTGCTTGTGTAATACAGGAAGTTGAGACTCTTTATGAAACGCGCTGCACTTAGAGAGCTTTGCTGATGTTTCTGTGTTGGTATGCAGAGAAGATGAAGCCAGGCCACTAGCTTGAATACTGCAGCCTATGGAAATGGAAGTTTAACATGGCGAGTTGATGTGTGGGGTGGCGCAGTGGTTAGAGCTGTCATCTCACAGCAAGAAGATTCCAGGTTGCCAAGGTTCCAGGTTCTAGAGCATTTCTGTATGGAGTTTGCATGTTCTCCTTGTGGAGAACTGTGTGGGTTCTCTCTGGCTTCTTCCCACAGTCCAGAGACATGCAGTTTAGGTTGAGTAACTCTAAATTAGCTGGTGTGTGTGGTGGTTTGTCTACATATCAGCCGTGCGATAGACTGACGGCCTGTCTAGGGTGTACCCTGCCTCTCGCCCAGTGTCAGCTGGGATTGGCTATTTTGGGTAACCAATCTCTTTATTAGTAATAATTTGCTTTTTTAAATTCCAGTCTTGTATTTAATACAGCCTATGTAATATTAGTGTAAATGCGAATGAGACTGAAGTAATTCATGAAATACAACTGTAAATGAGAAGTAGACCTATGTGGCTCCAGGTCCATGTAGGCTGATGATCAAAGTGATGAGACAATTCCTTGAACTTGGCATTTTTAATTATTTGCTAAAAATGAACATTTGATGATAAAACTTTGTTTTATCATTGTTGTATATACATATAGACACCTCTGTAATCACCTCAACAGCAATAAAATTCGTCACTCTTCTAACAAAAATATAATATGAATAGCAATCATCATGAACCTAATCAGTAACAATAACTATCACATTTTACAGATTAACTGTAAAAGAATTAATGGGTTTCTGATCAGAGTGACTGCTGACAGAACAAATAAGGCACCAGGGTTTATCAAACATGGCTGTTAGCCTGGTCTGGAGCAGTCTAGCTGCAAAGAATAAATCTCCATAGTAACTGGTATTAATTTAACCTGCTTTCATGCAATTAAGTCAGGGCTAAATTCAGCCCGGATAACTGGAAAATCCCAGGTTAACCCCCCCCCCTTCAAAGGTTATTCACTTCAAAGTGCATGGGTTATACCATCCAGTTACGATGTGACTAAATCAGGTGAAGCTGTGCTATGCCAGGTTTGCTCCAAATATGTCATCTTAATGTGTGTGTGCACTCTTGCCTCCTGGATGTGTGTATCCACCCCTTTGCATAAGAACCAACCTTCCTTCCAGCTGAGTTCACAGATCCAATGTCAAATTAATCTGATTTTACCTTTAGCCACAAAAACAACACAGGAGTAATCCAGGAATGGCTGTAATCAACCATGAAAACACTGATGCTAGCTGGGGTCAGGGAGCACAACAGGAGGAGACTTTTAGAGAACTCTGGGACATTAAACCAATAGTCAGAATGAAGTGGTTGCAGCATGTATAATACTGCATGTAACTGATATTATCAAACTACTTAATGGCCCTTCTGGTATTCTATTCCTTATGATGTCAGTCACAGTACAGATTACAAGTATGCTGGTGTTTTCAGCAACAGGTTGATGTTGTCTGTCTGAAGTGGAAAGACTGGACCATTGTCAGTGAATCTTTCACAGTCAAAGCAATTATATGTGGAAGCTTGGGACCCAGAGAGAGAGGTGAGGGCAGCAGAGTGGTAGAGGGTGCAAACATAAATAATGAGTTAAGTGGAGAGAAGGGAATTTGTGCTTTCACCCCTCATACCCCCTCCTCGTGTTGGATGGCCGAGTGTATGCCATAAGTGCTCTCCCCCCCCCACCTCCTCTCACTTCACTGCTTCTCAACTCATATCCCAATAGAAAATGCTCTGTGGCATTAAATATGTAAAATTAGCATTTTAAGTAGAACACATTTCTATGTCATGCCCTGCTCCAACCCCCACCCCCACTCCGCCCTGAGCATATACAGTAAGCCACACAAATGGATGCAGGCATGCAATGTGCATTTGGTCATCTCCATGGTAACATGGGACTCAAAGACGGAATGAAAAGGTGTAGTCACTGAAAATAGATCAGACTATTTTTTATTTAGTGAGTTTATTCAGTGAATAAGTCACACCAGTACTAGTGTTAATGCTGAAGGATGTGAAGAGCTGAGGACCAGGACACACACTTTTATACCTTCCACCATCTACATATAGATTCACATTTACCTGGACTTCTCTAGCTGCTGCCAATGTAAATATAGCAACATTATCTTGGTATCCCAAGTGTTTTTGGAGTTTGGGTTAACTGGAGGCTTTTTGGGGACTTAGTGGGACATCTTGGGAGTAAAGAGTTACAGCAGTCCAGCCTGGAAGTAACCCATGACTGGACCAGTTTTTCAGCATCACTTTGAGAGAGGATGTTCTTGATTGTGGCGATATTGTGCAGGTAAAAGAAGGCAGTTCTAGATACTTGATTTATGTGTGATTTAAAGGCCATTTCCTGGTCAAAAATAACCCCAAGGTTACTCACAGCAGGGTGTCATCTAGAGCTCCCCTCTGTGCTATAAATATGGTTGTATTCCATATTTTTAAGATTTTC